TGTACATATATTATATGCTTAATCCCTGCAATTGCATATTATATACGCATAATATTTGTACCCATTTTCCTGATGACATATAAATCCAAATAAATGATGATATACAGTATATAATGAATCAAGTTCTTCCATCAGTTCGTCATCAAACAATGGAATTGAAAGTTATTGGTTGAAACACTGTATGATGAGACTTTTAATGATACTAATGATGGAAGTAATTTGGATGATGATCCAGAAGAATTTAAAAATTCTGTTAAAACATAGGGTTCATCCAGCTGTTAATAAGAGGCCAAATGGAAATTAGCAAGATTATTTAAACTTGGATCAAAATTCCAAATGAGTTCATATCATTACTTTCAGAAAATACAATATTAGAAATTTATAAAAATAATTAATGTTAAAATTAATTTACTGTAGTTTTCATTAACAAATAAATATAAAATCTATTGATTCCATTGGTTCCAGTGATCCATTGCTGTTTCCAGTGGTTCCAGTTTTCCAGTAGTTCCAGTGGTTTCCAGTGATCCATTGGTGTTACAGAAAAAAGTCACTGGAACACTGGAACTGGAACTGGAAAATTTGTTCCTTTTCCCAACACTGGTTCATTGTGATCAACATTACATGATCCATATAAATCTTGATTTTCCCTGAAATTTCTAATTTTGGTAAAAATCTAAATTTTATTTTGTCACATTTACATATGTAAACTTGATAAGTTGGTCATGTGGGGGTGAGATCATATGACCAACTTATTGAGTAAACCAACTTATTGAATTAAATATTAAGAAAATGGAGTGAAAATTTTGGCTGACTTATCAAGTAAACTGACTTATTGAGTGACTGACTTATTGAGTTTACATATGTATATATTTTATATTCAATAAAATCAAACTTCCACCATGCTATTCGTGACTTCATGTTATTTCTTATTAAATTTATTTATTAACATTTAATTGATTAATTATAATTGTGATGAATTTATTTTTAATTTTAAATAAATAAAATAATTAAATCTTTTCTCTTGCATTTAAATACTTTTAAACATAATTTCTTGAAAAGTTAAGCTCTCACCCTTATTATATAAAAAATGTTGAAAAGCCCAAATTGCCAAAATAGTTCAAGCTTCAAGAAACAGTTTGGGCTAGAAATCTTACTTGATTGTTGGTAAAGTGACCTGTTGGTAAGTGGGTGTTGGTAAAGTGACCCAGACCCGACTAATTATGTGTAATTGCAACAATGAGTTTTAATAAATCCATATCTTGCAAAAGATAATGCTATCACTGAAATGGAGTTAAATCTCTTAATTTTTAAAAGAACATGACATTCTACATAAATGATCTCAAGTAAGATAACTGTAAATGCATTTAGGCCCCTATAATTAATGCATACATGACTCTTTTATTTATATACATTGTATCTATAGGAACTAGTACTTTGTGATTATTTTAAAGTCAACAAAACACAAATATTTCATTGCTTAGGAGAACTGGTAACATCAGGCAAAAAAAAAGTTTTTATTTGTATAACTATAATCATTTGTAATCATTTGTATTATTTGCTTATTTCATTTTTTTAAAAAAGGTTCATTCATTATAAGGATGTAAAGGGATAGCTTTTCATAGTATATAATAAACATTAAAAAATTTATGTATACATATTATGAAATTACTACAAATAAATTAAAAAAAAAAAACAAATCATCATATTGTATATTTCTATTTACATATATAGTTTGTATGTTGATTAATAAATATAAATACATTAGAACTCTTTACACCAAAAGCTTTGATCTAGCATTGCTATTGATGCTCCAAGACACCATCCAGTTTCAATTTTTATTTCTCTTTCCAGAGGTATTTCATAACCAGTATGTAAAAGTTCATAAATAAATGATAAGTTCATGCAATAATATGGATTCTTTTTAAGTTCCTTTACAGCTTCTGGTAAATAAGAGAATCTTTTATAATTTCCTGAACAAACTTGATCAGTAAGATCACGAAGTTCTTTTAATGTAAATTCTGATGGCATTCCTAATGGGCTTACACGATCATAAAAATATGAAAAAGCATAAATATCATGTGTTGAAAATGTATCAGTAAGAGATGGCTGATATACACCATCAAAGGCACATGGGAATAATGGACATTCTTTATGTTTGTTGAGTATTTGTTCTACTATGAACCTACACTGAACATGTCCACCACCTGTACCAATGAGTTTAACTGAATTGTCATCATCATTATCAATATCAATTTGCCATGATTCTGAATAATTTTTTGGTAAGCAAGTATGTGGAATATAAAATTCATCTTTAAGATTTCCATCATAACTAAGAGATATATCAGAAATCAAATCATTCTTGATACCATCAATACTATTATTCCATAATTTTACCATGAAACTTATAATTGCTTTTTTTGCCTCCATTAATCCAAAATGTAAATAAGAATGTTGATATAAAATATATTTATGTCCACCATATTCTAATTCATATCTATGTTCTCCAGGTGCAACCTCATAACCATCTAGTGATCCAGGTTCAAAAACTATTTGAGTTGAGCCACCTCCAAGGTCAAAAATTGCAGCTGTGGGTGATTTATTTTTTGCGCCAACTTTATTCAATAAATAATTAACTGTAATCCATGCATAAACACCTAATAATAAAACAAGTTATAATCTAATTATAAATATGTATATATGTGTATATGCATAAAGAATCATAATACCTTCATCTTTGCCATCCATAATTACCACACCATCATTTTCAATTATTTGAAAAGGGTATTTGTTTTCTAAATGATTTCTAACAGCTTCTAATATATGCTCACTTTTTTTGGTTCCTAATAATCGTAAACCAGCAGTAGCCTTGACTGCCACTGGTGTACAATTATGCAATTCTTTGGGAACATTTTCAAGTGCAACTTTTAACAATTCATCTAAACTTCTCGCTGCTGCATCAGAATCATCAGCATATGCAGAAAGACCAGGTTCAATGTGAGCAAATACTTCATCCTCTAATTCTGGTGATGATTTACAATAATTAAATCTGTAAACATGAATACGAGAACCTGTAGAACCCGCATCAATCATTAATGCATACTGAATGAGTGAATGTCCAGGATGTGCTACAGTGCAATGTGAAGAATGTAATTGATGCGAAGAAGTTGCAGGCTTTTTTTGCTTTGATGGTAATTTCCCAGAAGCTTTACTTGACTGAGGAGTATTTTCAGATTTCTCATTAGCTTCTTATATCATCCATTGGAGTTATGTGAAAAAAATTAGATAAAATTTAATTATTTCCAGATTTATAAAACTAGCTTTCATTTTATATTTTATATTTACCTTCAAAACCTGGTACTAAACTTTTTTTTTGTTCATTTGGAACAAAAGTCCAAATTAAGAACGATGCAAAAATGAAAAATGCTATAATTTTGAGGATAGAAAAACTTTTAATAAAGATTACTGCCATCACTTTAGAATAATAATAAATTTTGTGTTGAGACTATCACTATTATTACTATATAATATATTGCTACTATTACTATTCTCAAAATGACAAGACTATCATCTGAAAATCATAACATAAAATACATGGCCACACAAACCCAAACGCGCAAAACTCCACACACAAAAAAAATTGCATCATAGGTTTTCATGATTATACATGCAAAATCTTATTCTTTAGAAAAATAATGAAAAATTTTCCCAAAGAATATTTTGTTGATCACACGTTCAATAACAGCTTCTATTCTTCTTGACATACTATATCGATTTCATTAGGACGTTTATTTTACTTGTGGTATTCTATGGTTGTTGATCAAAACATACGTTACATCAATATATGATAAATACTAAAAATCCGCACATAACAATATATTCCAACACGAATTTCTATTAATTTATCAGTTATGATGGAAATTTAATAATAAATTTAATAACTTTAAACCATGATAACTTTTTATAGTTTTATTGTTCAAGTCTTCTATAATAAAGTTGCGAGAGCCATTTGCCCATCTCATTTAGTTATAAAGCCTATCTATTAGAATATTTTTTTTTCAATATCTTTACTATATATAAAAAAATTTCTTTTTATTTGGTAAGAAAAAACTTTTTGTAATCTGAAAGCTTGATCTATTTACTTTCATTTGATGCAATTTTTTTTTATTATTATTGATTGGCATTATGTTGCATCATTTAAATTTTTGAATTAAGGCAAACATTATTACTATCATTTTTAGCTTAGGTTTTCATGTCTAAAAAAAAAAAATTCCAATAACAGCTTCTATAAATTTCATTAGGATATCATTTGTAATTTTACCCCATTCTTCTTGTAATACAGACTCCAACTTCTCACATTCTTTGGGCACCTTCTAATTCTAACCTTGACCATAAATGTTCAAGTTAAGCAATATGTTTGAATTTGGAACATTATTTTATAAAGACAGCCAATCCATAGTGGTTGTATCCGTTGATTATCTGGGTGTTTGAGCAATTAGCCAATCAATAAAACTCAACATCCGGATAATTGGTCATTCACCGAATATCCACTGAATATCCGCTGAATATCTGCCGAATATCCGTTAAATATTAAATTTTTATTCATCAAGATCAAGAAAAATATTTTCAACACACACATTGCATATTTTTTTTAAGAAATACAATTCTTTCAAATAATAATGGGTTCAATTTTGTTCGTTTGGCTGTCATTAAATAATGTAATAGTGATAAAATATAAAATTTTTTACTTTTTATATTCTGTACCAATTATTTGAAAATTTTCAACACCTGATTAATACCCAATTAACCGGATAATTGGTGAATATCATTCGGCGGATACAACCACTACTTAAACCATATCTTGTTGTTACACAATCATTATTTGCAACGAAGTTCCCATGTCCACCAAGACCTATTTCCTTTTTTTTTGAAAAGTCAAGTCTATAAAATTAGTTTAAATAATACAAATTGTTATTATTACTTATTGCTTATAAGTAATATAGCTTGCATAATAAATAATCATATTTACTTACTATCAAAACCAAGTATATATTTATTATCTGAAACATCTAACAAGAGCTCTTCATGAGGATATTTGAAATAATTATCTTGGCCATCTTGTTGAATTGTTCCTTTTTTAAGATTAATTATCCATCCAGCAAAAGGTTTATCTTCCTCACTATGAGTTACTAAAAATTTACGATTTGGACTATACTTCATTTCGTTAATGGGATGATATCATCATTTATGTCATTTGTAGTTTGGATTTTTATTATTTTCTGATGTCACTATTTCAATTTCTTCCATTTTTTTTTTAATAAGAAAATGTAAGGAAGGGTATATAAATAAAATAAATAAGTTTTTTTTGGAGATGATCAATAAACTTTTATATTAATATTGTTCTTCGGGGACGGCATTTTGCATAATCAAGTAAAATTGCTGAAAAAATAAACACTAAAAAAATAATCTTGGATAGTTAGTGATCGCCAGAGTAGTTTATGCCGCATAATCATCGTCCTTGTTGTTATTGCATTCAAAAAAAAAACAAACAAACAATAAATTAAATTCGACGCCACTAATAAATAAATATTAATAATATGTCGTTGAGAAAGAAGGTTGAGTTGCCATTCAGATAAAAGACACTAATTGATAATTTGATCCATGGTTTGGGTTACCTCTGGTTAAATAGCGCATCCCAAAATATTAAGACCATTCGAATAACGTAGCCAGAACTCATTAAACCGAAGTCGATATTTTCACAAAAACAAATCTTCGATTTAATATGGATTTTTCAAAAAAAATTTTTGTTTACATATTATCAGATATTGATCGCGTGACATCACGGGTGACTGTTATGGCTAAACCTTAATAAATCGGCTAAATTTGTAAAACATTGGATTATCATGCATATTCGTTTTACACATCTAAACTTGATAAGTCGGACGCAGCAATCAATTGTTTAAAGTACTTTATAATATAAATAAATGACCGACTTGTCGAGTTTAGATGTGTATTAATATCAAGTATAATGGATAAATTTGTTTTCCATATAGAACGTACATAATTATTACGTATTACGCCAAAATTAAAAAGGCAAATTTGAAAAAGTATACCTCTTTGCAACGATATAATCGCCACATTTATCTAAATTTATTGTTATTTATAGTTTAATTGGTTGATGATAGTGTTGACACTAGATGTATCCTTCAAGGAAAAAGAAATATCTAAAGATGCTTTTTTTGAAAAATATTGTGCCTTCTAAACAAAATTCCCGAGAAACAATTACATTTATTATTATATCAAATACCGCAAGTATACAATTATTTTTTTGTTGATGGCAGACACGTGACGTGACTGAAATTAAATATTTTCACTTTTTAACATTAATTGAATCATAAATCTTTGAATATAGAAACTAATTGGAACCTGAAACCGTTGGAGCCTAAGACTGCAACAATTAATTTATATAAAAAAATGAAGCCAACAAGTTCTTTGAAGATTAATAATCTAGAACTACTATGATGTGTGTATGATTATATATTTTTAGCTTTTTTTGGATTTTTGCCATCCAACTGTGATTTAAATTTTCTCTAGCAAACTTTTGAGACGTGCAAAGAAATATTTCTAGTGGCATGCTCCGGAACCGACTTGAACCTTCTCACGTTGTTATATCTTAACAAAAAAAAATTTTTCGATCTTTGGAAAAGGCATTATTATATTACCTACCCGTTTTGAAACATTTGACACACATTAACATTCATTTTAAAGAATTTACGTTCACCTACATACAGCATCCCCAGTAAACACTAAGTACAGAATTGTCGATGGTGATGATTCTTCAGGTCCATTTATACCGCCATTGCTTATTTACTACCATCTAACAATAAATAAGATTAAACATAACTCGCTTTTAAAAAATCGCCAGGAATATTATCAATCAAAATTCGATCATTCAAAACATAAAGAATCCACACAACCTTTATTTAATTTATTGAAATCAAGATACAAAATTCTATATTACTTGGTCGAAACACGGCTTTACCAGTAATAGTAATTTCCGCGAATATGTATTTATGCTTTACTTTTGAAACTATCTATCATTATTGTTCATTTCAGAATTAATTTCAAGTATAAATTTATTTAAAAATTTTCTATCTTATTCTAGAAACTCCTCAAAAATTTTCTATCTTCCTTTTAAGGAAAATTTCAATAGAGAGGACTGGTTTGTTTCCGATTTTTGTCACGTGTAACTTATTGCAAATCATATATATAAAGATTATTATTTTTTCATTCATTATAAAGTTTTTGTATTAGAATTTAAAGTTCAATGAAAAAATAAAGACGGAAAATTTTTAATATCATGAAATTATATATATAAAACTTCATATTGTCCATTAATAAAATCTGTCATTATACACTTTAAATTGATTCATGATAAAAATCATATTAAAAATTTAAATTATATGATTTTTGATTTTTTTTTTTGTTGATCATTTTTCCCCATATTTTTTTAATAAATTTCTCTGGTTCATAGACGAATCATCAATTAAGCATGCTTATCAATGATTGATTTCCATATATTAGATTTCACAAAATTTCTTCATTGTATCGCCAGATTCTCTATTTTACAAAACAAATTTCATGGCAAGGTTTTTATAGGCGGGCAAGAGTACTTGAAAAAGAAAGCTTACTATAATCATTTGTCTATTAAATAATAATATGTGAACGAAACTATAACCCTTTTTTTTGTCATGCTTATTTATAGAGGCAAAATTTTAAATGTGGAGTCATGTAGTTTTTTTGTTAATCATTATATATATATATTTCTCAAAAGCTGGAGGATTTTGATACTTCACATGCATAAAAATGTATAAAAATGTATGCATTTATAGATGTGATTACATGTATAGCAATCGCGTCTATATACGCTGCATGGACAAAAGTCGTGTATGCGTCTAAATGATAATAGTGCGAGGTAGTTTTTGGTCAATCTCAATTATTTAACGTTTATGGCCGAGTTTGAGCTACACTCGTTGATTCAATTGCAAGTTTTTTATATTCAACGCTCGTCAATTAATTTATTTTACGAATTTATGTTTGCAACGGTTGCTTTAACACAATACAACGAAATATACAATAAAACAATAAAACGATTTTGGTCAATGACCGTTAGCTCTTTGTGTAGGTGGTCAATCAGTAATAATCTTTAACGCGTAATACTTTTGCTAATTAGTCTTAATACTTTACGTTTACACTTGAACTCGTTTACAAAAACATTCATATTTTACAAAAACCAAAAATTAAACAATAACCGCTCTTATAACCAAATGGACAATTAATTTCCGAAATAATTTGTTTATTATTAAATTTTATAAAAATGTTTATCACAAAACGAATTATTCGCAAAAGAAATAATTTTATATTAACCTTCTGTCTTTACCTTTATGAGCAAGGTTTGGAATCATTAATTAA